TTTATAACTGTGCCGTATCTCGGACAGGTTGTTCCTAAGACTCGTGATATCTGTCAATTAGATGACATTTATCCCGAGGGGACGTACCCGAGCCATTCCCGACGGTCGTTGCTCTAATTGAGCATTTGAGCGGTGCGTGCGTGTTAATAAACTAATTACGTTCATGAATTGGTGAGTAACGCAGGACGCGAGCGTCCGTGGGTGGCAGACGGCATGGCTCCTACCCATAGTTTGTATTGTGACTGCGCCATTTGCTGTCACAATATTTGCCTTTCGTACTGAAGCACCTCAGTGTGCTAATTGACATGTTTTCTACGTTCTCTACCGCCTTGTTGATAGGTGAGTTTTAGTAAATGCGATTTCTTTTTCGATATGTCAGTACTAGGGGGAACACAGTCATTTATAATCATCGTTTGTTAAAAGTTCTTAGACAAATACTGTCTATAGTTTACGCGAGTAATACACATTTAAATAAAACACTTTAACGGTTTAAAACGCGATATAACTTATTTAAAATAAGTTTAACTAACATATCGCGTTTTAAGCCGTTAAAGCGTTTTATTTAAATAATTCTTAGTCAATTAATTATTTAATTGGGTACAAATAATCCTTGTATATTTCTTATTTTCCTCATTTTTTTTATTTGAATTTATTTGAGTAATATTATATTACTAGGTTATGTCGCTCCATAGGACTTTACAAACATGGGTACGGTAAAGCTATGATACACTTAAACAGACTTAGGTTTTCCCGAGAATGGGAAGGCTAAGATACTACCTTCACACACTCAAAACGAATATATCTACCTAATTAATGCCTATATGACGAATTCCAAACACATTTGTCTGAATGACAAGACAATTTGTAAATAATTTTTATAACCTTTTTTATGTATTCATGAAAATATTCAAATCGCGATGACAACATTCTAAAGTACTTCCATGGCAGACACAAATATGTGTCTGTTCCGAGCACATGTCGCCTCACGCTTATCGCTAGCCGATGCTATTGCGCCACAACACACGACCTCAAGATAGGTATTAACTTTGAACTACTTCCAACTTTCGCTGCGAGAGCGCGTTTAACGGGCCGCGAGAGACACGCGCCAAAAAAAGTATATAAAAAAACCAGAACAACAGTTCGGTATTTTCGCGTAACGGCTCCGGTAGCTGGCTCATAAGACGATAAGCAATCTTAGTAATTTCAATTTAATGGATGCAATTTTACAACGGCTAAATATCGGCAGGCGATTTAAGTAGTGTCTTATTTAAAAGGTACATTATTGCGTGTACTCGAGTATAAGCGACATTTATTTCTATTTTTAAATTTATTAAAATCTAACGTAGTCTTTGTACCCAATTGTCATTACTATTGTCAGTCACTTTGGATATTTGGGAATCCACAGACCAACACCGAAACGCGACTAAGTTAAATTTTCGATAATATCTATTAAATATGGTTTCATCATTAAAATTAGCGTAAATTTTATGTTACGTAATTAAGAATTACTACCTGACGTCATAGGCTTTATATTTCGTCGTGTTTAACCAGTATAAGCATTGGAGGACACGACTTATTTCTTAAATACATAGATATCTTTTAAATAAAACACTTTAACGCTTTAAAACAAGTTTAACTAAAATATATCGCGTTTTAAACCGTTAAAGTGTTTAATTTAAATGTGTACTACTCCCGTAAACTACAGACAGTATTTAACTAAGATTCTTTCAGATCTGGTATATTAACAATACATGCTTAATCAAAATAATATCTCGATCGCACCTGTTCTTTTCATCATTGTTAGAGAAACACTCATCGTACATTTTTCCACTCATTATTTACTTTCTGTCGGCCATTTTTATTATCAGTTCCAAACACGTGGGCAGGAAATTGTTTTAAAACAAGGGCCGTTACTATTATCTGGCGAACGTGGAAAAAGTTTACGCAAAGGTATTAAAAATAAAAAGGAAATACATAATTATGATAAAACTTTTTGCATTGTCAATGTTGAGCTCTTATCGTATGAGTAATGGTTGAGTGATAAAACTAAACAGACCCAATTTTTAGTATCGTTGGTTTAACTGAATTATTTAGATTATTGTCTTAACTCTATGTGCGCTATACGTATGTATATATTTTTAGCGTAAAAAATATTTAATAATGAGATAGATTGCTAAAAAATTAATATAGCATGGAACGTTGACATACACTCACAGATGTTAAAATTTATATTTTTATCTGTAAATATTCAAAATGTATCCTTATACATTCTATATAATATAGCTATTGAATAAGTAAGATTAGGTAACTAAGATCGCTTATAAACTATAAAAAAGATATATTCTTTTGATTAGTTACTACTAGGTGAAAATATATTGACGGTAAAAGCTGTTTATGAAAAAAAATATATAAAATTTGTATTCTTATATATTTCCAATATTTTACCGAAGTTATTTTAATTATTAAAATTATAAGCATTAGTATCGTATTGTACCTACCGCACAAATTGTTAAGTTATTAATCTGTTTATATTATTTTTCCACTAGTTTTAAATAGATAGCTAAATTGATAATTTAATCGCTTGTATACCACTGCCGGGATATGCATTTATGCTATACTTACTACAACCATCGCATCGAATGTAATAGACTAGAATAAGTTTACTTGTATTGATTGAGCCGCTGGGTCAAAAGTATGTAGTAATTATGTGATTTTGAATTTTAAAAATTATGTTAAGAAAAATATATATTATAAACTTATTTGGAAGTTAGCCCGCGGTGTGGCCTCCTACCACCCAAACAAAGTCGGGACGTTAAAATAATTTCCAATTAAGTTTACTAATATATATCGCGTTTTGAATCGTTAAAGTGCTTTATTCAAATGTGTACTAATCGCCTGAACTACAGACAGTATTTAAATATAATTTTGTCTCTCGAAAAACTAGGCGAAATTGCCTCCACGAGTTTATAAAATTGTGCACGAATTCTAGAGGCGCGGTTGAAGTATGTAATTTTCTTTTTTTAATTTTCAAAGGCTCTACGGCAATTCTACGAAGTGGCTACGCGGCCCGCCCCTCATCTCGCAAGCCTCGTCTCAGTAGCGTTATCTAAGGCATTGACGGCCCATATTGTAAATAATAAAAATGTCCACTAAAATGGCACTATCTCGCTCACTGTCTTCGTCACCCTACCCCCACTCCATCTGGAAGATGAGGCTAGGCGTACCATCTTATCACCATTATTAACTTAAAAACCGTTCAGTGTTTCTGACCACTGCCATTAATAAATTTTCAACACAATTGTTGTGTCTCGAGTGTTGTGAAAGCTTTTAAAAGTTTAATTTGTTTAATGTTTAGTGCCTTCGGTTATTTAAAAGGATATTTGCTGTGTACTTTTGAGGTATGTTTGAAGATATTTTTTGAGCGTATTTATAAATCGTGATAGGGATTTCAATAAAATTTAAATGATAAATAGTCTAAAACCGTAAATCATAAATATGTTATAGTATCTTTTATTATTTATTCAACTAAAATACGCTGTTAATTAAATTTATCTTTTATATATTCAATTCATGATAAATCTTTTTTGAACGTTTTTTAACTTAGCTTGATTTTACAAAACTCTTAAGTTAAATTAAAACTTTTCTAAAATTTTCTTCGTATGTATATTGTCGAGTTTTCAGCACTAACCATTTTTGTTATTAGAGCTGATTTATTACGTTTTAAAACACTTTGTTAATAATTTTAAGTAAAATAATTATTTATTAATACTAGAATTAGGTATTCCTAACTATTTAATTAAATAAAAAATCACACCATTAGAAATCTGAAAATATTAACAGCAGTGAACACTACAGGTGTTAACAAATATTTACATTCAAATCACAATATTGGGTTAAAGACTTACTGATAATGCATTAGCGATTCGAAAGGATCAGTTATTGTTTGAACAAGTCTTAATATGTGTGGGAAAAAGTATCTCGTTAATGTCATTAGAGCCCTTTGATGTTGCGCATTCTGAGAACGTAATGGCAAAATGAAAATACGAAGCCAAAACCAAAATCCACACAATGCGAGAACTTTTTAAAACAAAAGACAACAAAGAAACAGTAAACGCGTTCAAAGGCACAGAAGCTTAAATAATTAGTGTGTACACTTCAAAAAATTTTTTCAGAATCATATTTTAAGCAAGTATAATTTAGATGTGATAACACTTTTTATTATTTTGTTTAACATATATCAACTTATTTCTCGCTGATCTAGGATAAACCTATAGGATAGGAATTTGAAAAATCAATTAATTGAAAAGTAAAAATTTAACGGCCCGACATATTTATAACGATAGCTATTTCAACGTTATGTAACTGTTTATATAAATACACAATAATTGATTAACTTCCATATTATTTTTTTATCTAAATTATTGATAAGAGATTTCCGTATGCCGGCCGTATGTTGCTGGAGATATTCATTGTATACATAAATTATAATAATTATCACATACAATTAGTACAACACGTGGATTGATATATTTACTGCACAAATTTATAAAAGTAATTTGCAGCTTTTAAACTAAAAATCTAAGCTATTTAGAGATAAAAGCTTTTTAGAGTTGTAGATTTTTTAAATTCATTTGATATTAGTTATTTATTAAAATTCTTTAAAATTATTTTTATTGCTGAAAGTAGTATTATCTAGTTGAATCTAGTAAACCGTTAATGTATTGTCGCTTAAAACGAACTGTAAATTCTCCGAAGTCATTGATATAACTTCGACAAGAAATAATATATATTTTATATGACAAGGTAGGAAGTTTGAGATATTAAATATATGTTGATATTGTATTACTGCTATACGTAAAAACAAAATAACTATTTAGTCCAGCTCTATTCAGCTTAAAAAAAAGGGTCAACCGCGTTTTACCTTTTAGGCAAGACCTTGTAATTTGTTACTCCTCCAATGGGGGTAGGTTAGTGGTCGTTGTGGTCATCCCTGGTGGTGCATGTGCAGGGCGGCAAGGCGGGGAGGGGGTGTGAGGGGGCGGGGCCTGGCGGGTCGGGCCGTGCAGGCGACGCCGCGTCTGGAGCGGCCGTGGTCACTCCCGCCGCAACCACGGCGACGCGAGCACGTAATGCGCGCACGCTCCGCGAGCTACGCCACGCACGCACGCGCGCGCTGCGCTTCCCGCGCGCAAACACGCGCCAGTTATGTTACCCGTTCGCTCAGCTGTTATGTGTTTGTTCCATTGTGAACGAGTGCGACATATGTTCCCGAAGCGTTGATTGACCACCCGCGATATCGTTCGAGTGACTATCTACGTTGGATGCGTTAACATTTCGGGTGAGTGTGAGAGCGACCGTGCTAGTGGCCGGTTTGACCGCATTATTTTCGAAATACGTACGCCATGATCCGGTCCGTGCCAGTGATCAAAACATTATAACAAATATACGGTTGGATATACGCGGGCCATAATCGTCTTTATGTGTAATTTCACACGTTAAGTTTTATGTGAATACCATTCGGATAGTTCGACTCTCATATCTATTTTGTGTACAGTAATAACTAAATTATCATAGTTGCAGAACAGAATCCGAATTTTGCGTTATCATTCGTCAAATTTATATCACCGATTGCCTATCGTTATCGTAGAATCGCGGCGCGTTGATGTCTTTTGCTTAACGCTTTTGGAAAGTGTTATAAACTCTATTCCTAATGCATATTTAATATAAATCGTGTATTTAGTATTTTAAACATTCATACGTTTGTCAGCTTATAAATAAGATTTGTCATAATTTATTCAAATTTGTCATATAAATGCAAAATAAGTTTTCAAAGGCGACAACTAAATTAAGGTCTAAGAAACCGCCGCATTTTACTGCAACCTTGCTTAATCTGTGACGTTAATTAGCTTAATACTACATCAATAAACATTTATACATATGTGTACGGACGCAAATGAGATTACTTTGCTTCTTTCTTAAATATTCCGCTTAACTCTACATTTTGCTTTTATAGAAACAAGTATACCTAATACCAAGTTGAAGTTGCCTAGCATTATGTAAAGTAAAACATGTCCTAGGTTCGAATGCCGCAAACACAGTCTTAGTTTGAATCTAGGAAAAGCTTTATAGCAATGGAAATACTTTTAGGAAATATGCTCGTTGTTTTGAGATTACTAAGTTAATTTTATGTTATGCTAATCTTATGTAACTTGCGTGAATTCTTAGATCATTAATTATTGGCACACGTAAATCGTGGTGTTACATTACCTTATATGGCCTGTCCTAGTTCCTCCACTCGTATGGAAATAGAATACAGATTGTATTTATTGTACTTTTATCTATTGTGCGCGAGCGTATGCGGCAATTACACAACCAGAGTGATGATGTGACAATGGTTTACTTACTATAGAGTACAAATCGTGACTTATAAACCTGTAAATTAAAATACTTTTAATCTAATTCTCAATTGACTCACTAATAAAAACTATAAGATTGTACTTGATCTATGATACAAGATTTTTTTTATATTTATATGAGCTAACTATATGCATTAATAATAAAAGTTTTAGTGTTATTAGAAAAATGTAAGGATTTTCCACTTTAAAATTTAACAGAATTACTTTTAGCAATTATATTTTCAAATCGACTGAAGGGGATAAACACTGTACAATAATTAATATTCACAGCTAAATTCAGTACCCTTTTGTTATAAATAAGTGAATAGCAAGTACAAATGCGTTTGTTAAGCGTTAGAAATGAGATTAAAACAATAATATAATAAAAAAAATATTAGTAATTAATTATATTGAAGTATTATTATGTTACTGATACTAAAATAATAATTCTTTGTTGAGGGTTTTCATCTACTCTAAAAATCACTATTCTTAACTACATTGTTATTTTTAATTTTAAAATATATCCTCAATTTCTCTACGTTTCAACTTAGCGGCTATTTACTTTCATAGTGCCCAGTCGTTAAAACTATTTATTTACTTTCTTAGTGGATAAATTTAATTAGGGCCAAGTGTGACTGCAATTAAATGTTTCTTGCAATTGTTCGACGGTTTCACATGTCGTTAATTAATGTGTAAGAGATAGTGTAGTGTCGGTGCACTTGTTAGAAACAGTGATAAACCGAGTGACTACCGGTTGAACACAATATCGACATTGTTGAATAGCTAGTAATGCGACATTAATTGTAATTCACGCCTCTTGGAACTAAACGATTTCGGTTTAATTTAAATAAGAAAGCGATTAGTTGTTCTTTAACATTGTTTAATGAAATTTAAACAACACACAAGTAACATTTTAACTTCTTTGATATTGTTTAAACTACGACCCGACCGTTAAAGGGTTTTATTAAAATACTAGCTGAGCCGGCAAACGTTGTTTTGCCATATAAATAATTTTACTAAAATGTCTATTAAAAAATAAGGGTTGATTGTAGAAGGATGAAATAGGATTGTTTGTTGTTGATGTAAAAAAATAGAAATTAAAAATTTTGTCTAAAAAATAAAAAAAAAAATTAAGGGTGAACAACCCTTATCACTTAGGAGAATGAAAAATAGATGTTGTCCTATTCTCAGACCTACTGAATAAACATATCAAATTTGGTGAAAATCGGTCGAGCCGTTTCGGAGGAGTTCAAGTTCGAACACCGTGACACGAGAATTTTATATATTAGATGTACTACTAGTGTCAACTACGAACAGTATTTTGTTTAATTAAACTACATTATCAGCTTATTGTTCTTCTACTTGACGCTTCGGACGCTTGCAGCCATGGTGGGTAAAATGGCGGGCGTCTCTAGTATCAAATCAAATTCTATTTCTCATAATTTAACTGAATTGCTAAGGTTGTTCAAATGAAAACAATGTGTGATCTATAGCAATGTGATGATATCTTGTATAACTGCGGTTTTGACTTTTGATAGTGTCACTGTAATCACATAAATATATACTAATCCAATCTTATCAATCAATCAATAAATTTGCTCTTATGTCAAGACATTATAAATCGAATAATAATATTTATTTATTTGTCAGACCATAGATCCATTATTTTAAAATAATACAATATTATTATTAAAATAATAGAATGTTATGTAATGGAAAATGGTATAGTTAAAAACTCTTTTAATAAAATTATTCCAGTATTAGAAGATTTCGCCTGACTGACTAATTTTTAACAGTTTATCTTATGGCATGCAGAAGAGCCTCCATTTTATTTAAAACCTTGATTTAGTTACAGTAATATATTTTAACTTTACTACAATCTTGCTAACGAACCCTTCGTGTAAAAGTTCTTGTTTCAATTTTCGAATTTAACTTAGTATATGTACTAATAGTACTTGTTGTCAACAGGTGGGTCGAGGAGAATTATGCGTGGGGCGTGCGCGTGCGCGGTGGTGTGCGCATTGGTGGCGTTGTGCGCGGCTTCCGGGCTCGACGAGGCGACGCGTGCCGCCGCCGAGAAGCAGTTGTTGTCGCTGCTGGGTCTGCCGCGCCGCCCGCCGCCGCAGAACCAGCCCCGCCCGCCCGTACCCACGCCGATGCGTCTACTCTACGACCGATCCCCCACCATACCGGCTGCGGCCGCGAACACGGCCAGATCCTTCTACCACACTCCCACCGAGCTCGACCTGCGGTTCCCGTCTGAACACCGCTTTCGACTCTTCTTCAATATAACTGGGGTTCCCTCCGATGAAGTCGCTCGAGGTGCGGATGTCACCTTCCAACGCTCTTTTGGTGTTACTGGAAAGCAGAGGCTTCTACTCTACGACGTAGTCCGACCTGGCCGTCGAGGGAAGAGCGAACCCATTCTAAGACTGCTCGATTCTGTCCCGCTCCGACCGGGTGAGGGATCGGTGACAGCCGACGCTCTTAGTGCAGCAAGACGGTGGCTCAAAGAACCGCAGCACAATCACGGACTATTAGTGCGGGTTATAGAGGAGGGCGCTGGTAATGAAAATGTCAAATTCCCACACATTCGAGTGCGACGACGTGTCACGGACGAGCACGAGGAGTGGAGTGCACTCCAACCTCTTATGATGCTCTACACGGAGGATGCTAGAGCTAGGATGGCTAGGGAGCGGGGAGAGACTAGTTTAAGTCGAAACAAGCGAGCGACGCAGAGGAAAGGCCACCGGCCCCACCACAGGCGCAAGGAGGCCCGTGAGATCTGCCAACGGCGACCTCTGTTCGTGGACTTCGCCGACGTGGGCTGGAGTGACTGGATCGTTGCTCCGCAGGGTTATGATGCGTATTACTGTCAGGGGGACTGTCCCTTCCCCCTAGCGGATCATTTGAACGGTACGAACCACGCGATCGTACAGACTTTAGTGAACTCAGTGAATCCGGCCGCCGTGCCGAAGGCGTGTTGTGTGCCCACGCAACTCTCCCCTATTTCCATGTTGTATATGGACGAAGTGAACAATGTGGTGCTTAAAAACTATCAGGACATGATGGTGGTGGGGTGCGGCTGCCGATGACGAAGGCCTAGCCCAGTGCGGACCTAGTGATAAATCGTGGACCCAGTGTACATATAGTTGTGGCCTCGAAATTGTACATAATCGATCTGTATATACACATATTTGTAATTATTATTTTATTGAAACGATAATGATATAATAAAATATTAAATTTACCCTCATGTATTATTTTTCATCATCCTAATAGCATTCTTACGGAGCTTGCGGTTTAAAGTATCTGCATACGGCCGTGATTCAGACATCTTACTTAACTATCTTTTTATGAATTGAAAACGAGAAACTGAATCCTCAAATTCCTTAATAGTAAAAAACTCAAGCAAGAACTAATAACAGAAAACAAAGCTTGCATAAATTAACGCTGAAGCTAACGAGATATATGATACCGACACAAAGGTCCTTTGTAGAGTCGTAGCCAAAATAATTTAGAACCGATAGTTTTGCTTAGTGTGCGGGTGATTATTTGATTTATGATCGTTCATAAAAATATGGCTAAACATCGTTTCATACGTATTGTACAACTTATTGTAGTTTCTTATATCTGTCACTAGCCTTCATTTGAAATTTGAATGTCCGATGCTCGAAGCGCGCTTATAAAGTCGTTGACAAAGAATCCCAAAGATAATATTTAAAATTGAATTCCATTTAGAGTGTGGCAGGTCTCCAAATTTAAAATATTTCGTCGCAAGAGGGCGATATATCATGTTTTTGCTCTGACGCAGGAATGCCCGCCTGTATAATTTGGCCGGCCACCCGGCAACGGCCCGTCTGCCGCGCCCGCCGCCCTACGTCTATATTATCAGTAGATAAATTTAAGCTCTGTCTTTGCCTCGTATTTCGTCCTCTCGAGCTTCGCTTTTGTCTTTTTTCATCGTGGACGGCAACAAAAAACTGAGTGGATGCGAACGAAGTGGGTATAATTTATTTTATAGTCGGACCGCTCGTAACTCGGCGGTGGACGGCTGGACGCCGATTTATCCCCATCTCGGAGTAATTAAGGTAAATGGATTGGCTAGCGTGGGTACCTTCGAATCTGACGCCTCGAACACACATCGTATTGTCTCTGCACGTTCGTCGTACGTATTAAAATGCAATTTTTATAAACCAATTAAACTAAAAACCGCAACTCCGAATTAGATGTAAAAGATAGGAGAGGACAAGGCTGGTGATTACGTGAGGTTGATTCCGAAGGAGCGGCCTATCCCCGAGGGAATTATAATTGTTTTGCATTCTTGCAGGGAAATAAAAACAAAAGGCAAGCAGCGGCCCCCCGCGCTGTTGTCTTACAGACCAGACCAAAGTCTGACGACTCGCATTCCCTAGAGACAAAAACCTCGAAATCAGCCTGATCGGGTTAACTGCGAACTTTTAGATTATCCTTTCTTTTCGTGACCTTAACAGTGGTTTAGATTTACGATATTTATTAATTATAACGATCAAGAAGTTTAATTATAAATAGTTGACCCAATTGACAAAATACACCAGCTAAATACAAACCATTCTTTAGATCGATTAGAAAAAAGAATTTCGGAGGGAATTAAAGAAATTTTCTTAAAGAAAGGAGGTGAGCATATTTTTATTACTGTGTTATTGTGTATGTATCGTTTATTACCTCTTGATACATGGATACAAAATAACGTAGTTATTTTTGACACAGTTAGTATATTGGATTTCAACAATATATACTTATTATGTGCAAAGTGCATACGAAATAGATATATTATAGGTGTATATAAAAATAACAAAAAAAAGGGCAACTCGCATAAGTTTAGTACTTATGCGAGTTGCCCTTTTTTTTGTTGTTAGCACGAGAGGACGTGGATTTTACTCCATGGAAAATAGTAGATTGTTTTGGTTGTTAGTGCACAGAAGTCTGATCTTCTCTTGCTTTGCATATAAATCGATTTGTACGGACACACAACGAACACATTGTTTAGCAGTATTAACCGGGAATTCATATACAAACTAATGCGTAGTACTATAAAACAAATAACAAGATCCAACCAATAATGAGAGCAATTAATAATTTCACTGGATGTCACAATACTTATTGCTTGGCAAAGCGGCAAGGCCCGCGGCCAACGACCGCCGGCTTCTCTCAAAATATTTCAAGTATGCACAAATTAAACTGGTTTTTTCTTTATATTACTTTTGCATAAAAACATTGTATCGAGAGGCACAATTTCATGGATGTTAGTGTTAGTGCAGCGCAAGAATTTATCACTAAGTCCTCTTATTTAGGTTATGTACGGAATGGATTCGGTTCGCCTATTTGCAAAATGTTAAGCGAATCTCGGCGCCGGATTAGTCAGCAACTTTGTAAGGAAAGTTGTGGTACTAAAAATAGATAAGCTGTCTAGAATACTTAACGTCGTGGTGTGCAACTTTGATCTTGATCATTTAGATACGTAAGTTGCAAAAGCGATATTTGATAAGCGCGTGATTATACCATCCGATTTTCAGTGTTGACAACTACTACTAATAAGGCTACTCTTACTAATTAAGTAAACAAATTTAATTTTGTATCTATATGTTTAATATAAATAGAGTTGACTTACCTGCGTATAGTTTACTAGTCAAACTTTTCGAAAACGAAACTACATAGGCACTTGTAAGTTTTTATACAACTCTAGGTGCTAATATACCTCTTGTTTTGTAAATTCAGTTTAAATTATTTTTTAACACTATTAACTTACGAATAAGTGACTAAAAATCTTATACTATTAGGCTCTTACCATATTAAGGACAATTTGCATGAATTGTATGTACTATGCTTTTTAGACACTGACTGTCACAATTATAGAGTTTAGTTTAAATTTTATTTATACATATTTATTTACAGCTTCTGAAAACTTTATTAATTGGTAATCTAAGAACGCCACGTCTCGTCTTTTTAGGAAGTCAAGTAAGTTCTTAGCATTGTACAACGTATGGTGTACCCAATTCAAATATATCTTATTACATGCTTAATGTTTATTTATATATATCTTTACAGCTTTGTTTGGCAAAATCGTTAGTCTTAGAACGCTTGTTTTTAAGAATCCTAGTAAGCAAATACTGTTTATAGTTTACGCGAGTAGTACACATTTAAATAAAACACTTTAACGGTTTAAAACGCGATATATCAGTTAAACTTATCTGAAAATGATTTTTAACTTCGGCCCGACGTTTCGGATGCTTTGCAGCAGCCGTGGTCACCGGGAGACATTAAAAATCATTTTCAAACAATGTTAACTAACATATCGCGTTTTAAACCGTTAAAGTGTTTTATTTAAATCCTAAGTTCTTACTGTTGTTACAGTGCATATGGCACCCAATTTAAATATATTTTATAACATGCATTGTCGCACTGTTCTTAACGTTATTCGAGTACAATAAGAAGTGACTTTAGGCTAGCGACTGCGTCCCGTAGGCACGCTGTGCGCACAAAAACAAACTTTCACCATAAGGGCCTCGCCACATCAAGTGATTTGTTAGACTCGGTTCATCGGAAAATTCCTATATAAAAGTAAACGGGCCAATGTTGTAACGAGTGTTTATACCGTTGGTGATAAACAATGCTTTTTCTGCCTTTCATAATGCCTTCATGGACGGTTAATAGACAGCGGGACAGGTTATTGCTTCTCGATACGTGTCTAAGCCCCGTTCGCTATAAGAGGGCTATGTTAACTAGAACTCAAAAAGCCCTTTCAAGCTTTATAGATTGTAGACACAAAATTTATCTTTAAATACGCCATAAATACACTGTGTATAACACGTTGCTTTCAAGACAGATAGCAAAAGATCTTTAAACAAAGAACGAGAGTATTCAGACTTACAACGTTTTTAAAACTAAAGTTGTGACATATGTATGTAAAATTAATTATATGTTAGAAGTAGTAATATAGTTTCGATAAAATGTAAAAAATATGTGACCATTTTAATGTCCAATCTAGCCTGCGTGCCGTATGCAATCGAAAATATTTAATGTTTTTCGAATCCAGGACCTTTCGTTTTCTTAAACAAAGCGGTTCAATATTGAACTATGGAGGTAGCCTCGCAGTTGTTTAGAATATATAATATTTGGCCTATACCTAACTTGATCAATATTATAAAGCTGATGTGTTTGTTTGTTTAAACGCTCTAATCTTATGAACTACTGGACGATTTATCGAGGAACGCTTTAGGCTATAAAACGTCACGGTGCCGCCAATAGGAGCGAAAAAAAATAATAAAAAATGTATGATTGTATAATAGTTTTTTAAATAATCTAAAAAATGTCCGTGACAGATTATATCTATCTTTTACGCTTAACTAGCAAGGACGATGGGATGCGGACGAGCTATAATTTATATATATACTTACATTTGACGCCGAAAATAACGATTCTTGGTGGACGAAGTCGCGGGCGCAGCCAGCAAGACATAAAAATAGTGCAAGCTATGGTCACGTGTCTGGTCATATAACGGTGGTGACATATTTACCGGCGCGTCCGCTGCGGACTAAGCATCTCGGATGCCCCACGATTCGCGCTACTCATTGGAAAAGCTCGAATAATTATTTTCTTATAACTCGCTCGCTTGTTTTTACGAGTTCCTAGAAGCGATTTAATGTAACAGTCGTTGGGAGCTTTCTTTCGGTCGTCTCTAATGGTCATTTCGTTGAAGACAGTTTAATTAAAGAATTCGTTTAGCTAGAGATTGTTAGCTACACGCTTGTCTCCTAGTAGGTTCAGAGTTCGAAGCCCTGTTTCGATTTTTCTAGGAGTATTTCTAGTAACAGGCAGCTTAAAAAAGATTTATTTATATTCGTGTTCTTGAATCTATATTTACCATTTATCTATCCAAAATCCAGTATCTCAACCAAAATTTTATTGGCACAAAAACGGTTCTAGTAACTTAAAAGTTAAAAAATAGACATATACCATCATTTTCTTAGATCTTTTAAAGAACAATTATTATGTCAACATGTTCATCATTTTCCTCTGTTGCTTCGCTCCCATTGGTCGCAGCCTAATGATCTAT